TCATTGGAATTGAACTTGTATAAGTTTCCATCTCTTTTAGCCTCAAAAATGATTTCATCCTTGTTTTCGGCATATAAAACACAGGAATTTGCATTAAACTCAATTTTGTGGCCATTGTCACAAAGTTGGCTTATGCTAATTAAATTAAATTTTAGGCCATCAACAAGATAAACATCATTTATTGAAAAATCACTTGAAATACCTATCGTACCTTTACCAATGACCTTCTTCCGAGATTTGTCTCCAAGAGTCACATGTCCATGACTTTTCTCCTTAAGACTTGTGAACCATCCTCTTGTTCCGGTCATGTGTCTTGAACATCCACTATCCACAACCCAAGTGGTATTTTTCACCTCTTCTTCATCATTGGAGGCCATGAAGCAAGTATTTGCGTTCTCTTCTTGGCTTTGGTCACTATCACTTTCGTCGGTGTTTAAATCGTCCCAAGTGACTTTTAATGCCTTCTTCTTCCCCTTTTTAAGCTCTTCCTTCTTTTTTAGCTTTGGGCACTCCGGTTTGATATGACCTACATTTCCACATTCATAGCAAGTTATTTGATTAGGTTTACCTTTCTTTGTTGGAAATCTTTTTGAGGATTCGCCCTTGTTCCATTTCATAAACTTCTTGTATCTCTTGAACATGGCAAGCTCCTCATCACTTTCTCCTTCCCTTTCCGGATGATCATCAATTTTGAGTGCCATGGTCTTCTTGATGATAGGAACCTATTCTTCTTCCTTAATTTTCTTCAAAAGAAGCTCGTGAGAGTATAGGCTGCTCCAAATGGTGGAGGTTTCAACATCCGCACATTTGGGCAACAAATTTACAACAAGACTATGCCACTCTCTAGGAAGAGAGAATATAATCTTGGTGTTAATCTCACTAGTAGGATAAACTTTATTTAGCTTACTCAAATTGTTGAAAATGAGGTTGAATTGCTTGTTCATATCTTCATATCTTGAAGTTTTCATACTCGGATGTTCCTAAAGCTATCTTGGTAGCTTTTGTGTCTTTATCTCCTTCATGGGTGGCTTCTAGGAGCTTCCATGCTTCCTTTGCGGATTTGCAAGAGCTCACCCTAGCAAACTCATCTTGTCCCAAGGCACAAAACAACACGTTCAATGCTTTGGCATTCAAGGAGAGTTTTTTCTTGT